GTGTGTATGTATATATATATATATATATATATATATATATATAATTGTTAAATTTACTTACTATTTATTTTTATAATAATGCTTTGCAATGCAATGTGCTTATAAATTATACATTTAAAAAGATATACAAAAAATACTACCTTACAATATAAAAATACAGTAGAAGGTATAAAATAAGAATTCGAAAAACAGCATGTAAATTGTTGATATGAGTTATGTTTTATAAATAAAGCTTTCTACTACTACTACTACTACTACGACGACGACAATAAACAAAATTATAAGAATAACCTAAATGCATGTCATTACTCATACGTACCTATTTTAAAGTATATATATTTTTTTCAGTCGTATTTGTTACTATTGTAAAAAGAAAATAACATTAAGATTTTAATGATTGGCGACTTTCTCGTTGTTGATATTTATGAATACCGTGTTATACCATGGAGGAAATATATTAATATATATTTCCTCCATGGTTATACTGTATGTACTTTTCCGTCATGTCTAATTTGGCGTAGAAAGCGTGTCATACTTGTTAAATGACGTCATGCTGGTAGTCTCATAATATCGTGCGGTTGTGGAGCTGCTGATTGATGTGCCACTCTCGGCGCTAGAACGCTTTTATGGGCGCTGGGGCAGCGACTAGGGTCGGTTCTACTTCTTTTTCTAGGTTTGTTCAGCAGACATGGCTGGACCTCAGCAACAGGGATGCTCTGTAAACAGAGCTTTTCTGGAGGAATTCGTTGCCAATCATTCGAGTCCGTTAGATCCCGACGAACCTCTACCAATAAGATTGGTAACGTATTACCTAACCGATGATGAAGTGGAAGGTGAAGTCGTAGACTGGACATTGGAATATCTGCGGAAAAAGTAAGAACCTCTCTCTGGCTAGGCCTACTCTAGGCCCCTACTAGGCATAATAGGCCTAAGTAGGCTAGCCTGCCCTAGGCCTAGCTTAGGCTAGACTGTACTAATAGCCTGGGCCTAGCTAGCTGCTCGACCTTGTTTTTGATTGTTTTAGATCCTAGGCCTAGGCCTAGATAAATCGACGGATTTTATAGACTTTACTTATGCTTGATACTTGCAGGTAGGCACTAGGCCTAGTAGTAGTAGTAGTATGGGCCTCCTAGGCCTTAGGCCTAGGCCCTAGATAGAGAGAGTGGGAAACTTAAATACTTCGTAATGCCTAGCCTAGTAGTTAAATAGGGCCTATGTGGGCAGACGGGTGAGTGTGATATTCCAACCCCCGAATGTCCAAAAGCGGGACACATCGATCCGAAAATCGTGACTTTTTGTTCAAAAGCGGGACACAGGGTACTTTATTAGGACAACTTATGCGTCCCTATAGTTAAGGCATACTTTGTTACTGTGTTCATGTAGTATCGTAGGCCTAGGCCTATCTTTTTTCAAATGAGTAATTTGAAAGAGATTAGACAATACAATAATTTAAGAAAAAAATTAAAAGAATAACTTTATTGTTATTACAGAACAATCATCAACTAAATCATTCGAACCACTCTCCTACTCAAATTGTGATTAACATTGTACAGATAAATTGTATACATAAAAAGAAATACTCAGTATGCCTAACCAGTAAATACTATAAACAGTTTATGGGTCTCCCTCCAATTAACAACCACTTTTAGAACAGGGGTTTTCGTGGCCTTTATCAGAGGTTTGGAAAAATACAAATATCAAAGTAAAAATGAAGCAGAAATGCAGCAATCAAAATGTTCACAAAAATAATATGTTTATTTTTTCTTCCTTTTCATCTCTTTATTCAAATTCAACATAGAGAACATACAGAATCAAAAACGAAGAAAAACATCACATGATCAAGAAAAAACAAATCAATAAAGGGACAGAGAAGCCATTATATATATATATATATATATATAAACAAGCTCTACAAAACAGCGGATTCCAGCACAAAATGGAATACCAGCCTCCACAACCAAAATCTTCAAAGAAAAATAGAAGCAGACAAATAATCTGGTACAACCCACCATTCAGCAAAGGAGTGAAAACCAACATCGGAAAATCATTCCTTAACCTGGTCAAAAAGCATTTCCAGAGTGGCAACATTTTACATAAGCTCTTTAACAAGAACAATGTCAAAGTCAGCTATAGCTGCTCAAGAAACATGGGCAGTATAATCAAAACCCACAACAAACAGCTTCTGGTTGCTAAGCAACAACAGCCAAAAACTCTCTGCAATTACAGGAAAAAAGATGAATGTCCACTATCTGGAAATTGCCTCACCTCATCCATCATCCTGTCTCTTATACACATCTCTGGAATATATATATATATATATATATATATATATATTTATATTGAAGAGTAGGTTTGCATGTATGCTCCAATTAAAATAAAATGCAAAAGCAATGAAAAAACGGTGTACAATCATTGAAAGTTGACTTGCGGAACACAAATTTATTAAGCTATAACAAAATCAAACGGATATTTCAATAGCTCCTGCTATCTTCATCAACGTTAAAGTGAAAAAACTTGGGGGATCTTTACCTATACATAAAGAATAATAAACCAATCAGAATTAAGTTATCAATACAATTGATACATTGTCTCTGAACTTATATTTTGTGGTCCAATCAACTAATAATTGAATTTACCTCACTAAATTTACACTTTCCCTGCTGTAGTGTGTAAGCCTACAGTAGCCTAGAGGCCTAGGCCAAACTTGTCAAAAGTTGAAAAATGGGATTTGCTAATATAATATCCCTTCAATTATAGACCACTTATGGGACTGGGGTTTTCATGGTCTTTAGCTGCTTTGGTCTTAATTAGAATAATATTAAAGATAAAAGACTTTTGTTGATTTCGGACCACAAAAAAGCAATCTTTAATTTGACGGATCTTTAATTAGGCCATGTAAAATTTAAAAATTGGTAAGCATCCTTGTGTTATCAATTTTCATGGTAATAATAATAATAATAATAATAATAATAATAGTTCATAGCGTAAGTTAAAGCAAGCTCTCAATGCGCTGTATAGTACATAAAAAACAGTACAGGTATATGGATGTCATGTTAATAATGAAAAACTTGATGGAAAAATAGGTCTTTTTTGGTTTTAAAAGAGTTTAAAATATTAACACACTGTCTGATTGAGATAGGTATAGAGTTCTAAAAGGTTATAGCTGCAACAGCAAAATCTCTCCCACCATACGTAGATGTTTTATTAATATTAAATATCCGAGTTTGTGAGTGTTTTGTAAAAAAACAAAATTTAAAATCGTGTCGGCGGCCTCTCTGATGGTAGGGAGGGGATGCTAACCAATTATTTTTTAGTGTACTTGGCCTTACAGGAAGACCTGCATCAGTTTAAAAGGCCTATAATTTCAAGAGATAATTCTGTTGATGCCGATTTATATTTTACTATAAGCTTAGGGAGGGGCCTAGACCTAGTAGTAGTAGTAATACCGTGTTGTAAATATTTTAATTGCACAGACGATACCGGTACCTCAAAAACTAGCTTAATAGAAAACTAGAAATTGGCCCATATTTTCCAAAATGCGTGGAGAGATTTCTATGCCTAATTTTTGCTCGGAGGATATTCCTTGTGCAGGCCTTACTTTACAGTCTGGCTTTAGTATCAACACATTTTTTTGTTTAAAACTATCCTATTAATGTAGTAAAAATAATATATTTTATTATATAATACTATTATACTACTGTATACAAATATAGTGTACTATATAATACAAGTGTGGATTAGACATCAGTGAACATTTTACGTGTTTGCTTAAAAAGAAAGGAATTGTGTGGTTTGTGGTATATTGCATCACTTACTGTATGTTTACAGAGCTATTTTTAGGATTGATTTGTGGTTTGTGTATTTGTTAATTGAGTTTTGTTCTGGTTTTGTTTAGGCTCACTGTTTTCATTTAAATTTTCTTTCCTTCTCTACAGTACAGCTCCAGTGCAAAACTTGATATTGTTATTGTTAATTTATTTTTTATTATCAAAGCCACATGGATCAGGCCCGTAGTTAGGATATTCAATGGGGGGATGTTGGTGTGTGTTTAGCGAGCGAAACAAGCATTTATAGGCTGGCGGATGCCCACAGCCCCTGTCAAGGTCCAGGGGTGATAATTAGTAATAATTTTACTGATGGGTTGTCAAAAGTGCACCCTTTGGAAATTTTGAGGTCCAGGGCCAGAGTGCTGGTGGGGGCTTTGGAAGAAAAGCTCCAACAAAGTTACATATTAAGAGCCTTATGGATTTCTAAAACCAATAGTTTGTGAATACAGTAGAACACATATTAAGGGGACACCTTCAGGGCCAAAAAAGTGTCCCTTTTAGATGTTAGATTGCCCCTTAATAGGGGTTTTTGGCATGTTTTCATGCATTCTTCTCCAATTTTATTTTTTATTGACATCATTTACTGTATAGTTACAGTAGAGTTCCAACTTATTTATATCAATAATTTGCAATGCAAATACAACTCATATATAATATGAAATCAGCAGAAATGTAATTAAAACAACAATATGTTTCGTGATGCAAAGTTAATGACCAAATATATTTTTTTTTAATTTTGAGCTTTTTATTAGATGGATGTAGCATGAATAGTGTAATGACTTAGAATTAAGGGTGCATGTTATAGTATGGATAGAATCCTATGTGAAAGTACTGTACTCAAACATGAAGAAAAAGAAATCCCCATGTTAAGGTTCAAAATTGGCAATTGGTTTATATGAAGTAACACACGCAATAGGCCTACACCAATATTCACTAAGGATTCTCTGGAGGAAATTCTAGTTAATTGCTCAAAATATAAAGTTGAAGGATTTTTTTTTTTTTTTGAGAGTGGGATTTTGTTGGGATACAATAAAAAATAGAAAACAATTAAGTGGCCCCTTAATAGGAGTTATCTAACCATTTGACACACTCATGTGTCCCCGCCATCCCCTTAATAGGGGTTGGCCGTAGTGTTAAACGATATCGTCCATTGTTTCAAGGAAAATTGTTCTCTTATAGGGGTGTCCCCTGAATAGGGATGTTCCAAAGGAGGGGTTCTACTGTATTCTATTTAAATTTTCATTCATTTAGCTATAGGGACTGAAGAAATAACGTTTTATGTCAGAATGTAGACTTTCACTGTACAAGTAACATTTTTCGTGGATCAATCTGCAATCACTGGAGCTGATAATTTCCAACAAATTTCGTACCACAGTAATTTAAAATTGATGGTTAGAAAACATACACAGTACTAGCTTTTTACGATAATTAAGAACGATTTTAGTGAAATATTATAGGTTTTAAAAAAGTGGACTTTTTGGAATTTAAGTTGATTGTCTGACCAGTAGCTCGTTTAGCTCCTGATGATAAATTTTTAGTTTATGGTATTCATCCAATATTGAACAAGGAACTCTAACATGAAATAATGATTAAGCCCTGAGGGTAATTACTAATAATTTGCAAAGTACTCAATTGTATGAGATAGTGGGTTTATTTGGGCATAGTCACTAGCCTACTCTATGAGGTAAGCATTGTTGAGGAAATGACCAAGTCTTTCGTTAATAATTCATCCATTGTTCAGAATTACTCACAACTGTAATTCTCCTAGAAGCATGGAATTTTTTTCTGCTTTTGTTCAATCTGTGCATACAAAAAACTAGGCTGATTTCATAATATTAAAACTATTGTACACTACTTGTACAGTGGAAACTTTGTCTACGCACATGCAGTACCTCCTTTAATATAGATAGGGTAGCTATTTCCTTGCTCCAGTGGAAATCCTAATCTTTAAAATTACACATAGAAAGATACTGTACATTTCAGCTGAGCTCCCATCGGATCTTAATCATTTGAATTGCTCCTTACCAGGCCCGACGTAGCATTAGGGGTTAAGGGGGTTACGACGAACTGCCCAAAAACTAATGTGGAGAAGGCCCGTATCCAGGTATTTTGATACGAAAAATTTATATTCGTATATTAACAATGTTCTCTAGAGTATCTGAGATCATACAAGCCAAAGGGTCCACTTTCCACTGAAACGAACCACCCACAGGCCTGCTTACTTGCTATTAGAGGACCACTTAAACTAAATTGCCACACTCTCAGGCTGGTCTCAATGAAAAAAAATTATTTTCAAAAATGGGTCTTGCCATTCTACAGTAAAACCAGCATCAGTGACCAAAAAAACAAGTTGACTTTTAATGTACATTCTCCAAATTACACTAAAAGTATTACTCTAGCTTCTCTGTACTGCAGTAAAAAAATTACTATTAAGTATTACACTATAGCTTTTCTGTACTGCAGTAAAGTATACAGTACTGCCACATTCTGGCTATTATTAGTTTTATGGTTTAATGCTTAAAACTGTACAGGTAACAATCCATATTGAATTAATGCAAATGTGTATTTTAACTGATAGACCTGATTTATAATCAAGATTTTGCCCAAGCATAATGCTTAATTGTGTACTTTAATTTTAAACTTTTTATTGATTATTAAAAAATGTCATTTTGCTTCAAGCTGACCTATATATTGAAACCTTTTTATCTTATACACTGACCAGGTAGTAAATATCATGTACTGTACATTCAGTGGTTTATTCTTATTGTGTAGGGCTTATAGGAGGTAATAAAAACAAACAGGAAATTTAAACCAACATTCTATTTTAACCCTTAGTCATATGCAAACCATATATATTTTACATGTTTTTACTATAATTGTTTTACTATAAACCTCATTACTTATAACATTGTGCTACTGTACACAATCACATGTATACTAATAGTTGTATACTTGTGTTTGGTGTTACTATGGTGATATTAATGTTACTTGCCTTCTTGACCTTTGATCTGGTTGAATGTAAACATTTTAAGTGGATTGTGTAGTAACTGCAATATTATACTGTATCTAATTAATTGATAA